AGCACCAAATATGACATAATGTCACATATGTAAAATAAACCTTTCATCTTTCAATCATTTACTTGTCTCTCCTGATTGAAATAAGGCACTACAAAGTCAAGAGATGGTGTATTATTTAAAGTCCTTTGTCTTTGAAGTGACAGATGCGTCTGGTTGCTGTCTGATGAGGGTGTGACAGTATAAGTTCAGATGTGACATCAAAAGTAGAAATTAAGTTTTAATCAAGGGAAAAACAAGATGAGAATGAATAAAAACAGTGTAATTATATTCCGATGAAATTGCATTTGGAGCCTTGGGAGCGAGGTTGAGTGCTGTTAAGACAGCATGAGGGATCTGCAGAACAGGAGTTGTACACCAATTAGTTGCTGAGGTTATTCTGAAATGAAGCGTAGTGGACAAGTAAGAAAAAACATCACAAATGTGTGATTCTACAGTGCAGCTTCTCTGCACAATCTGGGCTTTGGATCTAATATGGATGAGGGTTATGCAGGGGACAAGGAAGAAAATCAGAGAAGGAGATATGGAGAGTGATGCTGGTTGACACTACTGAACAGATTTCTTCAAGACCTGAATCCAGATCCGAACCACCTCAGCTCCACTTTCCTCCATCTTTTTCTCTGAGGACTTTGTCTTGAGATAAGTGAAATACATGAGGGCTTCAATGTGAAATGGGCCCTGGAAATAACATCACACTTATCACACCCTCTGAACCTTGGTCGGATGCGAACCCATCAGCAGGCTCCTCGGCCGTCTCTGAAAGCTGAGATGGTGTGAGATTGTTTCCTTTTGGCACCACCGGCCTTCTTCTCAATGAGGGGGATGTGGATTGTGTATCACAGACCTGTCCACAAAAAGGTCGCCTTGGACAGGTGAAGTCAAGTCAGCCCAGCCCCTTTCGAACTTCCCTCGTATGCGAATGCATTGCTGCTCTGCGTGGTCGTTTGTCATCTGCTTCTCCGCTGGTGATATGCAATCTTGCTCCGAAAAAGGGGAGAGAGAGCGGGTGATTACCGTGGGTTGTTTGTCATGGGGAGGCGGTTGTGGGAGAGAAAGGAGGATGATTGGGTGCTTTCAAAGGTTATTTCTTTGAAAAACAACAAAATCAGCTTATACCTGAGTGCAAACCAATGAAACGATCCCAAACACTTTGATATAACCAAAGCAATAATTCAAAGTATTTATCATTGAACTGTGAAATGATGCCATGCAGTTTTTATATCTTTGAAATGAAATATAAAAGAGGGACACTGAGACAAAACTGGCAAAAGGAAAGACAGTGAGATTTTCACAGAACTATTTCCATATTTTATTTTAGTGTTTTGTGTCTCCACAGATTTCCAGCAATAAACTAGCTGTGCTCAGTCAGATGCTCCCTGAGGACACATAGCCTCCATCTGCTTCTGTTATATGATACCCATCACTTTTCCTTATGTGTCCACTGTTAGAGGACCGTTATTCCAGAATGATATCGACCTGTATCAGCCAAGAACCCTCACCGAATCTGATGAGAGAAATGTAGCTTTTTTTGTATAGGAAAGAAGACCTGAATTAATTTGAGATGTGTAATAGTATATGCATTAGCACTTTCAGCACTTGGTTTATTTGTACTCTTCTCACAGTTTTTTTTTTTTAAATGGTTGGACTTGAGACAGGGGTTGGCTGTGTTTATGAGTAGTGTAGGTACATAGCCATACAATCCTGATAAATTATATCTGCAGAGTCAATACTTTTTTAGTTTTGATTAGTTTGTTTTTTATTTCCTTCTATTTTTGAGGCAAACGCAATGGTACGCGGCCACATGTATTCAGGTTGTCTGTTTTCTACAAGGTCTTAAATGTTAAAAACATTATCTCAGGACCACCTGGAAGGAATCTCTTTAAATTTGGCATGAATGTCCACCTGGGTGGGGGGGAAGGGTTAGGTTTGCGGTCCAGGATGAACTGAACTCATTTAATTTTGGTGGTCTAAGGTCATTCTGATTCCAAAAAAAAAAAAAAGTTTCTGGGACAGCATAACTCAAGACCCTATAGGATTGCTTTAATGAATTCTCAATTTTATCGTCTGTTTTATCAGCCTTTTGTTCATAATATTTCTGTATTTCTGTGAAGAACTTTGTAACTCTGTTATAAAGAGTGATAAATGAATAGTTAATTATATCATTGAATTTTGAATTACAGGCGCTTATCGGTTCAACATTTAAACATGTCTACGGTGATAACATTATAAAGTAGTTTAACCTTTTTTATATCCAAAAAGTCCAACTTAATCTTCACTGTGATATCGACCCCTGAGCACTTTTTTCTACAATTCTACAGTTCACTTAGCAGACGCTTTTATCCAAAGCGACGTACATCAGAGAGTACATCAGAGAGTAAGCAAGGATCTAGAAAAAATTAAACAATGTCAGTAAGAGCAAACGATCAGCATTGAGAAAAAGTTAGATATATAACCTTTAAGGCTGTAGGTATTTATGAAAGAGCTGGGTCTTTAGCTTTTTCTTAAAGGTGCAGAGGGACTCTGCCGAGCGAATGGAGTTTGGAAATTTGTTCCACCACCGGGGGGCGACAGAGGAGAAGAGTTTAGTTAGCGTCTTAGGACCCTGTTGTGAAGGTTGGGTCAGACGCCTTCCATTGGCAGAGCGTAGTGGGCGGAAGGGAGTGTAGACCTGGATCAGAGAGTTTAGGTTAAGGAGGAGCTGATGTTTTTGTCGCTGTTTTGTAAGCGAGCAGCAGAGTTTTAAATTTGATACAAGCAGTAAGTGGGAGCCAGTGTAAGGAGATGAACTCCAGTGTAAGGAGATGAACTCCAGTGTAAGGAGATGAACTCCAGTGTAAGGAGTGGACTTTCTTTGGAGGTTGTGGCCATATTTCAAGTTTGATCAATCAGTGAATCTATGAACTTCGTCTTAATATTGAGGTTACTGTAGCTCTTCTGTACCCTTGCATTTGATGCATCAGCATTTAGAGCATTGTTTACTGCAACAGTGTTCTTCTACCTTTACTCGCCAAACATATCATCACAGACAAAAATTTGATAATGCATTGCAGGACATTTATTAAGCTGTGATTCACGAGTTGACAGAATAGATTTTTAACATCCAAATATGCTATGAAGCTATGAATGAGTCAATTTAAATCTGCAAGTTTTTCAATATGTCCTCATTATTAATAACAAAATAGTAGCGCAAGTCATATAGTCTATTCACTGCTTTAGATCTGTGATGGTACCAAACTGTTTGACTCCAAACATGAAAGCCTTTCAATAAAGGCTCACCAGAAAATGTGACCTTGAGACTAGACCACATTTCAGCATTATGCCTTTTTCATTATGGGTTGTACTTTTAATTTCCTTTTTTTTAATACTTTCCAAATCTGTCAGAATTACTCTTCTAGGATTTTTGCTAAATTGTAAAATTCTGACCAATAATAAAACTCACAAGAACCTTCTTTCCTTCATGAAAATTTTTAGCAAAAAGGAATAGAGTATCAGGGTAATTTATCAGATAGTCTTCCTCTGTATCTGCAGAAAGAGACCGTGTGGTGAGTTAGTTGTCTCAACTTTGTCAAAAACCCATTTCCCTCTCTCGTTCTTCGTCTGAAGCCACATCCTGTTGTGCCCTGAGCGCAGACGCCCATTTAAGTCTGATATACGGCAGCTGGCCAAAGCAGAGCCCCAGGTTGAGTTGTCTGACGTCAGGCTGAGAAACTCTCAATTTCCTGCTAATGATACTCCTCCCTCCTTTTTCTCTCTGACTTCCTCGCTCCTTCACTGCTTCTGTCTGCATGTCAGATCAAAGGTGAGAGCTGCAAAAGGAGCTTGAAGAAAAAAAAAGCTCTGATGAGACACTGCCTCCTCGTCCTCCTCGCAGCCTCTGAGATGGAGGATAAGTGGAGGTCTTCTTTCACTCAGCAATCACTTTGCACTGATTTGAAACAGTTTGAAACAAACACAGTACTCCTCTCAGAAATCACTCATAATGAAGCCCCCCCCCCGACGATTCTTCAAAGTGCTGCTAGCATTACATTTGTGTCATGGAATTATTTCAGTCAATTTCTATCAAGGACTGTGATTTGAGGTATTTTGCTGTGATAATAATTTAATGATGTTTATTTGATCACATGGATGAAATATATTTTAAAACAACAAATAAGTCATTTTCCATGTAGTCTAGTTGAAAAAGTGTTTTTCTGGTAAGTAAAAGGTAAAACAAAAAAGTGCAGTGATTTTTTTTGTAATTTATAATTTCCATGTTTTTTTTTGCTGTAGAAAGCAATGTGTTGTATTTAGGTGCAATCCATTTTAAAATTCAAAAGATTAACACATCATTAATCTATCTGAACCATGGCCCTTAACTCAATTTAACTAACCTTCAAAATAACCTTAATTTGGCCCAAACCTTGTTGACCTAATCTGCATTAGCCTATTTAGATTGTAGACAACATCCAATGTGTTCATTTGAGAAGGCAGTCCCCATGTTTACTGGTGTTCAAGACAGTATGTTACCTCCCTAAAGATACACACAAAACCATTAAACACATGCACTACATGGCCTAAACAGAAAGAGACAGACACACATATAAAATCCAGAAGTTTAAAGCATAGAGACATAAAATGACAGAAAGCATTGAAAAGATCATTGATAGTCTAACTTTTGTTAATCTCAAAACTCCTGTGAGGAATTAACAGACTGAAATTACTCATCATAATTATAAACTAAGCACTACATGGTCATTTCTAATGCCTACATCCCTGCAAGGGGGTAGATGTGACCATAGGATGTGACACTGTAATACAGGCTGTAAGAAAGCACAGGCTGTTGGTTAAAACACTACTTGCTATAAACGGGATGCAATCAGCAAAGGGAAATGATGTCGCTCTTTGCCTAAACGGGTTGGCAAAATAAACATAAACCTTAAGTCCCTTACGGGAGATTTAACGTCGAGGGTCTGTCTGTCTTTTGTCGACTCACGTTGTGTTGATAAAGTTATTGAAATCCAAGATGGCGGCGCCCATGGCGAAGTCGTGATTAGGGGGAAACAGGTCATACAACTCATATTTAAAAGCTGGGTTTGACGTGTATAACATGGATTTTGGTATTGGGATATAAGACCATAACGCAGACATAGAGCAGCGGGAAATAAAACGGTATGTACCTTCAGACTGAAAGCTTTTCTATGATTTAACTCGTGAGTTTCTTCATCCAGCAGCAGAAGAGACCGAGCTGTCAACCATAAGATAAGAAATGAAAGACTAAACACAAAACCCGCTCAGCTTGCATGAACATAGACCTGTATATGTGGCTTTGCTGTGTGCAGAGACATGAAGAATACATTAATGTTAACCAGCATGAATGACATGTCAGCATGCTGCAAAGTCAAAAAAACACCTTCTGCCAACCTTAACAGAGACGAGTTTGGAAATATTGATATGCTTTATTTCATTTTAACCCTTGTTCTTCTTTATGCTTCACTTTAAACCTCATTTACAGCCTCCCTGTCTGCACATTTCTGAACTTACAATCATCACAGTTTTGTTATAATGCAAGAATTGAACTGAACTGAAATCATGTTTTTATTGTGACAACTTGTATCCAAAAGGAACAGAACGAAATATTGCCACTCATATGCTTTATATTTCATAATGAGGATGACTTTTCCAGAAAAAAAAGTTGTTATTTAGTGTTTGAAGTGTCAGAACGAAGTGTAAAATGAAACACTTTAAACTGGTTTATCAATGAAAACAAAAGACATTGTGCTCGTCGAAGTTGTTGCAGATTCATTTTAAGGCAGATTTGTTGAAGGCAAAACAAATCTGTGATCATGATATCATGACCATGCAAGCGTTCATGTCTGACTTCACTTTCCATATAGTTGAACAATCGTGACATAAGAGAGACAGCTTCTTGAAAATGACCACAGTAGGAGACACTTTCTCATCACGTGAAACTTTGTGCCAGAGGAAAGTTATAAAAAAGTGACCTCTAAATCCCTTTTAATATTAAACCTTAACTATAAACAAACTAAAATTATGCAAAACAGCTTGTTTTGTCTGATTATCATTGAGGTTCACTGCCAACATTACAGTTGAGAAAAGTATTGAAATTCAATACCAGGTGGCACCGGTGGCCAAGTGGTTAATTTGCACGCCCCATTTACAGAAGGTGTAGTCCTCAAAGCGGGGCCCAGGTTCAACTCCGACCTGTGGCTCCTTTCCTTCATATCCTTCCTCTCTCTCTCTCTCTCTCTCTCTCTCTCTCTCCAGTGTTTTGTCTCTGTAAGTAAGGCTCAAAATATGTATTAAAGTGAAGACATGGCTTATAACCACAGATCTTTAAATCAAACACTTCTTTCCTCTGCATGCTGCTAAAAGAAGTTTTCAGTCAGTGTTTAGAGAAAACTCCCGATTGGATGAGCCCAGTCACCATAGAAACATTTCCTCAGTCTCTCTCCTCAGCCCACTCACTTGCACCTTCACAGATGCGCACAACCTTGAGTTCTCGGCTCTCCCAGCCTCAGCCTGAGGGAGGAGCGTTGGCAGCGGCGATGCTTAGCTTATAATTTAGTTAAAAAAACAAAACACATCCAACACGTAAGCAGCTGGAGGAAAACACTGAGGAGGAAAGGGGCTCTTCTCTTCTTTGTTAACGCTCATTTAGTGGAAAAACTTTAAGGTATCCCAATTTAAACCTCCAGTCGGGTCAGATTCTTTCTTAATAATGCAGAGTCTTAAGTCTTGCTTTTGTTTGACAATCTTAATTTTGAAAACAAATTCTCCTCCTAAAGTCTATGCTTTGTAAAGTAAATACACCTATCATAGAGGATCAAATGATGGTTTAATGTATACATAAATTGAACTTGAACGTTTCTGGACATTCATCATTGTATTAACCTCGTCAATTGGTTTTCTACAGCTGTAGGTAAACAGACATCATTTCTATTTACATCTTAATCTCCGCCTGGTTAAATCAGATCATGCAAACAATCACTTCCTCCATTCAGCAGCCTGAAAGGTCTCCCTGTCTGTGATGCAGATGCGTCACTGCTGAGAAAATATTCTCAGCAGTGACGGTTAACAGTTTAGGTTAGCAGCAGTTGTCCTCCGCTGACGTGGAAGCAGAGACTGGGTGAATATCTCTGGTTTCCTTGGAAACTGTGTTTATGTACTTGTGTGTTGTTAAGAAGACAAATTTAGATCAAATCATTTTTTTTTTCATACAGTTGACTGTCTGACCTACTTTGAGTCATGCTAGAGTCTCACCTAAATCTTGTGTTCATGTAAACAGAGAGTGAGTGGCCATTTTTTCAAGTAGCCTAAAGGTCAAGGTTGAGGTCATAGTTTCATTGCTGGTTATCTGTCATTAAGAAACTTTTTGCTTCTGAATATTGCAGTGTGTAACATTCCTGTCATGCAGTATTATGCACTTCTAACTATGAATAATTAAAGACATGCTCTGTTTGCTTTAGCATCCTCCCAGCTGTTTATTTTAGAGCGGTATCTGCAGGTAGATGATAATCAGTGAAACATTGGAACACTTAATTATAAAAACGTCTTTCTCACATTCGAGTCAGGCGGTGAGTGCAATGAAATCACGCTGAATCTGATTGAACAAATGCATGCTGTTGTGTGAGTGACGTGGTGCAAAGAACACAGACTGTGAAACAGCAGTGGTGAAGAGGAGGGCTGCCCAGCCGAGCTGTCAATCATTCTGTTTTCACTGCGTGGACTCGAGTGCTGCTCAGTCCCACAGACTTCTCTGTGCTAACTGGTGATGGTGATGGTTCTCATTAATGTCCTCTGAGGAAGCATTTCTTTCATGAAGATGATGTGACTGGGAGGAACTTCTTCAGTCCTGTTGTGTCATGATGACCTCATATGCGTTGTTGATATAACAGAGAGTAGCAAAAGAAACAACCCCGAGTGCTAACCTGTACATTATGTTTCTTAAAGGAAAGAAAAAGTTGAGGCATTAATATTTATAACATCATATCTTATACGTCAATTAAACAAAATACCTAAAACCTTTTTTATGAATATTATTTTTATTATAATATTCTTTACTTTTTTATTTGTCTTTATTGCTTGTTTTTACAAAGTGTTCTGAATGTTAAAGAGTGTTTAAGTTTGATAAATGTTGTAAAATAAAATTCAAATTTCACTTGATACGCTGAATGTTTAATCTTTTATATGTCAATCTGTGTCTCCTTGTTTTAGGTGACGGAGCCATGCAGGCCTCGATGAGGACGTTAGCTCTGTGTCCCCTGGGCGTTGCCAGGTTGGGTAAAATCCCATCACCCCGCCTCCTGTCCCCCTGCATCCGCACCCTGTTCAGTGAGACAGGAGTGTGGGAGAAAGACTACCGAACAGAGACCAGACGCAGAGTGGAGGAATGGTGGCACCCACGAATCATGGCACATGGGAGGAAAGATGCACAAGAGGAGGTAAAGTATTAGAGATATAGAACCCCACAGACTTTAGTCTGGAGCTGTCACGGTACTCTCACATCACGTCAGCATCTCAGTCATGATTTTGTTTTATATTTATCTGACTGCTTGCTTTCATAGATGAAAAAGTAGCTATGTGCAGTAGTATAGAAAATTGTGGATGCAGCAATCCCCCGTGATGCATCGTGATATCAAATCAAATCATAATCAAATCAAATAGTGATACATGTGAAGATGCAAAGCCCTAGGAATCTCATATCCTGGTTTGAGAGGAGCTGGGACCAAAAACTCAACTTTAACTGTAAAACAATTAAAACAAACGATTAAAACAACTCTGAAGTCTGTAAAGTGTAAAATAAGAACAACAATCGTCTACATGAGATCAATGATGAATGATCTGTACCTGCCACACTCGCACAAGTGAAGTAGTGAGTAGCCCCATACAGAAATACATTATCTTATTGTCGTGTCTAGTTCAGACAGTGCCAGAGCTCACAGTCGGGCTTTGTTGTGTCAAATTAAATGTTCGGACCCAAAGATTTTCAGTTGACAAAGATATCAAACATCAAATCCTCTTTTATTTGAGAAGCTGAAATCACCAAATGTCTGACAATTCTGAGAATAAAAAGGATTAATTATCTGTTTGAGTACACGCAGCCAGGATCTTTGGAAGTGGAAACAGGGATCAGAATATTGATTGTTCTATGTTAACATTGTGTCCCAGATCTGATTAAACGTGGATCAGATTTGAAAAAATAAATAAAATAAATCCCAGTAGTTTAAAAGTTTGTTGATCATATTATATTATCGGGTGAGATCAAAAGCTGACAACAGGTTGTGTAAAGAAACAGCAGGATTAAATAATCAGTTAAAATCAGGTGATCTAATCTTGTTTTTTTTCTGGTTTGAAGTCTGTGTTTACATTTCTGAATTGAATACGAATGACAATCTGCTCCCAAAAAAAAATCTGGATTATCCTGATCCAGGCTGATGTCATGATTCAGGCTTGTTTACAGGAACTAATTTAAATATTAGAAATACAGCATTTTTACAATTATGTTGATACTTTAGACATTGTATTATATGATGTTCTTCAACTGCTTTACCCTAGCACAACATAATAAAAAGAATAAAGGTATTAGGGCTGTGAAAATGTTTCCATATTGCCTTAAAGAATTTTAAATCTTTAAAAGTCTGTACCTGAGCCCTTCGCTTCCAGACGAACCCTGGAATTGACTTCTTCAACAAGCACATTCCAGATCTCCTTGCACCTGTGGAGACACGGGCGAATACATTTTAAAACTGTGCACGATCTCCACTTAACAAAACCCAAAGCCAATAACATTTACTATCATTTTATCTCACTTTTGATAAATAGAAATTAGCAGTGGCCAACTTGGTTCAGGTGTTTTGGCTCTGCCCTCAAGCGCCTGTCGTTTGTTTTGTGTGCCAAACCAGAGAATGTTACCTGTTCAGGACTTTTTTTTACTAGCAGATGAGGTGGTGGTGTGTGTGTGTGTGTGTGTGGAGGGGGGGGGGGGTTAGGGGTTCTTAAACCAAACTATGTAATTGTGGACAGATGTGTGTAGAAGAAGTGTTTATAGGAAACCCCCCCTAGCCTTTTCTCTCTCATGAAATGATGATCATGTCATTAAGCATCCCTCCACGTGACCTCCAGCTGCCTCTTGCTGCTCTACTCCGACATGCAGCTCTGGCTGACCGTCTCTCCTCATGGTCTCAGACAGGCTGACAGTGATGAAGTGCATTCTTCAGGAAGCCCTGTTCTTAATTAATTTACTGAAAAATTCATGACTCAGGTTGCCAGGGTGTAACCACCAGTACTTAGTGTGTTGCCGTGGGAACAGTATTGGGGCTGTAAACCATCCATAATCAGAATTTCGGCTGCTCAGACTTTGACAGTGTAATCAGACCCTGTTAGATCCTCATGCCCAAAGTCAAGTGAACAGTTCTTATTCCTGTCATGACCTCATCAGTGTATCAGACGAAAGCTCAATCGAAGTCTGATGATGGAGAAAAGAGCCCGAGCGTTGTTAGTGTAGTCCTCAAGTATTCTAGTTGTATGATCTTTTCCACACCACATTAGTTTACTCACAGCTTTGTTTTGAATGTCTGACTCCTCCAGGGCTCCAACAGGAAGAAGTTTTATGTCCTCTCCATGTTCCCGTACCCGTCAGGACGACTTCACATGGGACACGTGCGAGTTTATACCATCAGCGACACTATCGGCCACTTCCAGAGGATGAGAGGCCATCAGGTTTGTCTGCTTTTAAGTGAATGTCTTTTACCATTTTCTGCTGTGCTCCCTGAAATAAAGAAGGCCAATCCACTAACGTGTCAGACATAACCTTAGAAAGCTTTTGTTCTCTTTTATTTATTTGTAAAGGGAAGGACATCCTTAGAGGCCATTTCACTGAGAGAGGAGATATTTTGAAAGATAGTGGTGTAAATAATTTAAAGTATAATATCAAATCAAGGATAACTGAATTGCATTGAGCTGTTTCAGATAGTGGGTTCTGTTATTGTGTAATCATGCTCACTAAATCAGTGCAGCCCCTTTCACACATGTACTGCACTTCTGAAATTCTCCAAATAACCAGGATAGACTCTAAACAGACTCCCCATCAAGATTTAAAAAACTTTATTGTCTATCACATAGTGACAAAGAATTACCTTTTGTTGAGGCTCAGTAACATAAAAACATTCACACTTAGATAGCAAACAGAAAATAGCAAAAATTACCATAAATAGATAATCACATGTGCACAGCATTTAAAAAATATTGATTATCTAGCCTTGTTTAAAATGCGTATTGCAGTGGGAATTAAAGAGTTTCTTTAAGTCTTCAAGCTGTCTAGTTAAAAGTCTGCATCAAATCAGGATGAGCATGTACATGATGAAGAGGAGGGGACCTAGTACAGAACCTTGGGGAACACCTTGGGAGAGAGGAGCAGTGGGGGATTTGCAGTGGTTGATGCTGATTAACTGGTATGATTTGAGCCAGGAGAGAGCAGTGCCGGTGATGTTGAAGGTGGTTTCAAGGCGGGAGAGAAGGATGGAATGGTTGATGGTGTCAAAAGCTGTGTTTAGTAGTTCTTATAGTGACGGTGCATCTGGCACAACAAGATACTGCCGTGTGTGATGTGTAGAGGAGGAAGTCTGCTAACTGCTGGGAATTGAATGTCTTGCAATTGTTTGGACATTGTCTGGAGTTCATGTGTGAAACAGTCATTCTGTGATAGTGCTTCAATGTAAAACAATTCACACTAAGATAAAGTTCTCATTCAAACAGGGAATTCAAACTGTATTTTCATGTAAGATACTTTGGAAAGATGGAGCCACATTAACACTCACATTGGACATTTTCTCAAGCTCATGATATTGACTCTTTGTTCTTGGGTTAAAAGAAAAACATTTATAACTCCTTACTAGAATAGGTGCCCAAAAGAATGGCTCTCTATTTAAGCCCTTCTTGTGGTTTACTTAAGAATAAGCAACAAGACAGCTTTTATTTTATTCCCTGGTTAGCTTTATAGTTTGTTTTATCTACCTCTCAACACAACACAAGTCTTTTTCTGGTGCTTAACCGTCCACTCTTTGTTCAGATGTTCAGCTAATTATCTTCTCAACTTGTCTTCTGTAAAAGCACAAAGGTTGTTGCCATCCTGAGGAGGAGTACTTTAACCTTTTTTTTTAAATTCAAGTTAACCACTTAAAGTGTCAGCTATCTAAAGAAATGCTTTCGTTCAGTGGTTTGAAAAAAACATTAGACCTTTTATATAACCTGAAAAAAACAGCATTACTGGGACAGAGAGTGGGTCTGTATGTCTGTTTAGAGCTCTCTGTGTTAGGTACATCACATTATATGCAGTGCGGATAGGAACGCCGCGAGGAACGCTGGGCCTCATGAAAAGATATCTGATTGGACGCCAGCAACACTGAGGCTGTCATCTGAATGTTACTTTAGGAAATACAAAGAAAGTTATTGTTATAAGCACATTTGTGAAGAAAGTCTTCTTAATGGCAATTAGTTTATAATTTAATATGAATACTAACCAATAAATTTAAGGGCCTCTGTCAGTCATGGGCTCTTAGAATCGTCCTTACTTTTCACCCCCTTACGGCGCCCCTGAGATTTATGCTCTCTACTTTTACATTGAAGCACAGCTTACCTGAAAAGTCTCCCTGCTCTTAAGCTCCAACCTGTCGACTTGTTTCCTGCTTTACCTCCCACCATCCATACACTATTTATTCAAATCATTATTAATAGCTGCTCTATTAACGCTGCTCAAGCCTCAGTTTACACCTGCAGTGAAGTGTGAATCTGCATATCTCTTAACACAGGAAGAACATCTAATATAAAGTTTTAACAATAGCACTAATATGATAAATAACTTCTACCTCCTCCATCTCTCAATCATGAGAGCAAAGTTTACACTCTTCTGTATTCTGTTTGGATTTTTGTCTCACATCATAGCTGATTTTTTTCACAATTGTTTTAAGTAGCTGATGCTGTCTTTGTTGGTTGTGTTTCTTAACATGTTTTTATTTTTCTGCTACTAAACCTAATTATTATATGCTAACAAACATTTATTCAACGCATTAGCAAGGAACTTTTTTTATAGTTCTTATAGACTGAAGGTTTTTAACCTGCTGCAGCAAAGATAAGAACAAGGATGGTCTATACACCACTCCATATCAGGCCGAGCGCTGCAGTCAATGTTCACGTTGTGCTAAGGTCCAGTGAACTTCAGGTGTTGATGAGGCTGTGTCTGTCACAGAGATCATGTTAATGTTTTTTGGGTTAGTCGTTGTCCTCATACAATCTCTCCCTGTTTTTGCCCTGATGAAAAGCTTTTCTGTAACACTGGGATTTAATGTTAGTTTTTGTGTCATGCTCTCACCTGCGGAGAGAATCCCATCTGTTTCTGTTTGCATTCTCCCCGGACAGAAACACAGTTTCACCTGACTGACAAAGACTTCCTTCTCAGGAGTCTACGTTCTCTTAGCATCTGTCGGAAAGCAAATGTTGTTCCACTGAATGCACCGACTCTTCCTTATTCACTAGTTAATTAAAAAGGTTCACTCTGCTGATTGTCACATACTAAAGCTATTCTCCCGTCTTTTAAAGGGTAGTTCTTCTTTCACACTCTTGTGTTGTCCTGTATCTCATATCAATATAATGTGACCAAAATCTTATCAATGGAACAATAATACCGTTTCACATGAGTTTACTAGGGTCATCCAAATGGAATATACGTTGTAATAATTATAATAATAATAAGTCAAAGATTTTTATTTGCCTTTATTTGGATAGGACGATGTACGGAGGCTATTGTCCCCAAGCGGGTGGCTCGGGTTTGAGTCTGGCCTGTGGCTCCTTTCCCGCATGTCATTCCCCACTGTCACTGTCACAGGCTGATTTGATGAGTCATGCAAGCTGTTCCCCCTATTTCCAGTCGTAAACAACATATACAAACACATCTCACAATCATACTTTCTCTTCTTGGTTTAATAGTTTCTCACATGCTAGAGTCCCTGCGTAAAATTGTGCACCCTGAGTTGCATCAGTTGTTTGTTTCATGTAAAACCTGAGCTTGTCCATGGAATGAAACATTGAGTCAGTCAGCAGGGTTGAGTATGAACCAATTAGCTTGAGTACAAAAACACAAATGCTGGAGTTGCAGCTCAGCACTGCCTGAATCGATAGAAGCTTCTGGAGCTGTGTGGGTGGACACTGCCATGTAGCGGTGAGTGGTCTCACAATCACAAAAAAAAAATCAGCCTCCCAACACTTGTGTCCATCATGTTGTGTTCACAAGCAGCCCATAAGTGTTGATTGACGTATCTGTCACGGGTTGGCATGGACTTGCTCGACATTACAGTGGACAGATTGTCATAAAATGTTCCCACACTGACTCCCACGTCCATCTTCCTCTGCCTGTTGTCACCCAGGCTCTGAAATGTGCCGACAGCCTCTGTGGTAACAGGTTGGTATTCGCAGGGAAAAGATTGTTTTCCTCTGCTGCTCTCTTTGAACTTTGAGAATTGAACTTTGTAATGCAGTCTGTCCGTCACAGCTGCTCCCTGTAACACACTGTCTCACTCCTTCTAGATGAGGTGCGTGTTTTCTTGCTTTGCTACATTTACATTGGCTATCTTCTGTTTGTGCTTGCTTTCCTCCTGATCCGTCACAGTGGTCTGCTGTGCCGAGCTCTCTTAGCTTAATACCAACCAGCACACAGCTTTACAAATGAGGCCCATGCAGTTACCAAGGATACCAAATCGTCTGAAACATCAGCCCCGTTAGAGTCCATGGATGATCCTCTCCAGTCCTCGAATCCTTGTCACCCTGCGTCTCCTCTACTTTACTCACGCCTTCCACTCCTGTGCTTTCATCTCCATTCAGTCTCTCAGTGTGCAGGAAAAAAAAAATCATCTCTGGGAACCAAAAGGAAAAAGAGATGAATGGAGGAGACGTTATATGGAGTAGACGATGATTTATGTCAAGGATTGTAAGATAGATGGGGGATTAAAGTAGTGGGGGATGGAAGCAGACATCGTAGATTGTGGTGTTGATTAGCAAAAAGTGTGAAACAATTTAGTGAGTAGCCTAATTAGCATCAGGCTGACAGGCGGGCAGCTGTCACATCCTGAGCTTCCATTCAAAGCTTTACCTCCCTCTCCTTGTTTTTACACGATATAATAGCTGCATTAACATGAAACCTGTTTGTGTTAATGCATTGACTGAAAGTCCTAATGGAGTTAAAACACATTATCATGTATGGTTCAACATGTGCTGCAGTTATAAGAGCTTAATGCTTTCATGCTAAATAAATTATCCCTACAGAAAAATATGTTGTGATTTTTCTGTTACTATTAGCATAAACCCTCTAATGGCATATTACATACAGTGAGACAAGACAGACTCTCAAAAGTCTTTAAAATCCCCTATTGTATCCAAAGCAGCGTACATCAGAGAGTGAGTACAACACAAGCAAAGATGTGGAGAGGAGGAAACAACGTCAGTAAGTGCAAACGAACAGCTTTAAATCTGATCGGACACAACCTCGACAGCTGTTCTTGAGAGCTCTAATCAGCATCAACACCATCCTTAAATAGTCATTATAGTCAGTTATTACCATCATCAATAATATCACTAAGTGCATACTGCGTAGGTGTTCATGAAAGAGTTGGGTCTTTAGCTTTTTCTTAAAGGTGTAAAGGGAGTTTGCGGATTGATTGGAGTTTGGAAGTTTGTTCCACCCCCGGGGGTCGACAGTTGAAAAGAGTATCGTTAGAGACTTAGGACTCTGTTGTGAAGGTTGGATCAGACGCCTTTCAACGGCAGAGCTTATGGGCGGGAGGGAGTGTAGACCCGGATGATTCTGAAGAGTTTGACTCTCCTTGAATGATTTCACATTCATTTGTTAGGAAAGAAAATAGTTTCTCTTTGCTCACCTTAGATGCAAGATAAACGCCTGAAGATATCTTTACCAGGTATGGAGGTATGGCAACTCGAAGCCAAGAGTGAACATACAAATGTGAATGGAATTCTTCATGAAGAAGGAGGAAATCTTTACGGTCAAATAAAGTTGTGAAAAGACAACACGGCATATTCACAGATTTCTAACTTTTCATTGAGGGAGACGCAATAAATTCAACAGTAACTGAACTGTATGTCAGTGTCTAGAAACATGTCTGGGGGGAATTTCTAGGTCGACTGTAAACATTGTTGTAATAGTTTTTGATTGTTGATGATGATTTATTGTTTAAAAGGTCAAATGAAACAATGAATGCCCATCAAAGAATCTCTCGGAGCCCAAGTGACAACTTAAATAGCTCGTTTTGTCAGAAACGATAGAAAAGAAACACATTCCTTATATATTAGTAGCTAAAAAAGAGAGTGTAAGCTTTTTCTCTTCATAATCTACAACTTTAACTGAATCAACTACCCACATTCTTATGTAATAATTCACTCTTGATTCTCCCTGATCACGCAAATCTCCTGACTTCTTCACAGGTGTTGAATCCGATGGGTTGGGATGCTTTTGGACTCCCTGCAGAAAACGCAGCCATAGAGAGAGGTCTGGACCCAGGAGAGTGGACTATAAGGTATAGGAAATATCACTTCAGCTCTTGCTAGAGTCGTTGTTTTTACGTACACTAACATTGACTCCGTTGTGTCTCTTAAGCAACATCCAGTCCATGCGCGAGCAGCTGGACAGCCTCGGCCTCTGCTTCAACTGGGACAGAGTGAGTACCAAAGCATCAGACAGAGAAGTTGTCACGCTCAGGTCTGGTTCACTCAGTTGCCAAATGGGTGACCTTTCTGTGGCTTTTTTTTCTGACAGGAAGTGACCACCTGTCTTCCAGACTACTACAGGTGGACGCAGTATCTGTTCATCAAGCTCTTTAAAGCCGGACTTGCGTATCAGAAAGAGGTACCGTTGGCCTTTGCCCTGAATTGCTTATCCTGCTTTTCTTCTGAAAGGAAAATATGATTGCTTTGGGTTTGAGGTGCCTGACAGTGACAGACATGATTGAGGCAGCTCAACCGTTACACCTGGAAGAAAAAGACTGAATTGAAAAAGAAGAGAGCATGGTCCAACCCCTTTGATTATGTTTAATGAAATGGGACGACCTTGAATAAGCCGTTGGTCGGTCTATTGAATCCAACCTACTTTCTAAGCTCAGCTTTTTAATTTGAATTGTGAATGTGTGCGTGTGTTCATTTGCCATTTGTGTGCTTATTTGTGTGTGTCTTTAATCCAGGCTGTGGTGAACTGGGACCCTGTAGATCAGACGGTGCTGGCTGATGAGCAGGTGGATGAAAAGGGTCGCTCCTGGAGGTCTGGTGCCCTGGTGGAGCAGAAGCTGCTCACACAATGGTTCATTAAGACCACAAATTATGCCAAGGTAAGTCTTTTTGGTGTGTGTGTGTGTGTGTGTGTGTGTGTATGTGTGCGAAAGAAACCTGGATATGAATGAGTGTGTGAGTGCAAAGTGGCAAAGGCCTCCCTGACCTGCAGCCTTAATTCATGTTCGAAATAAGGAACGCAGCCCTCTGATAACAATCATGGCCGACACTTCAGCGGCAGCAGCAGCATCCCTGCAGCTCTGCTCCTGCAATCAGACCCCTGAAGGCCATCATCTGTAGCCTGGCGTCTCCAGACCGAGGAGAGAGACACAAGCAGAGTCTGGGTTATACCACATGGTGGTCTGGCTGACTGATTAGAGGTCTGCCCCTTTCCTACACAGAGCATAGCAAAGGCTGCTGCAGGGGGAAATGACCCCCTCTGGACGTGTATGAATCAGCCACAGGAAATACTGCTCATGCATTAAACATGCATTATGTGCATGTGTTTAGTAAGTAACGCATGCATGTGCAAAATGTAGTCCTAGAGGAGAAACTCAACAAAACTTGCACTTTTTAGCAAACCTGCAGATCATTCAAATTTGTCTTAATACTTTTTGTTGTGTTGTGAAAAAACATGTGACTGTCATATTTCTTGTTTCGGGGCTGGAACTAAAGAGCATTTTGATTTTGCTTAATATTTTCACTTATTTGGTTTACCAACTTTTATTAAATGCTTGGAACAATTCTTAAAAGCCAATGTGACTTCTTTAATGGTCTTGTTTTGTTTCTTGTTTTTAGAAAAAAGTTAAAATAACAAAGATGATGATAGAAAACAGAGAATCGTCTGCAATTCTTCATTTAAAATCCTTTTCTTGACACCTCTGCTTGAAAAATGACAGCTTTACTTGCTTCCATTACAATAGTGATTCTGAATAATGCCATGAGCAGAAAAAAAGTATAAGCAAGATCAGTTTCTGTGAGTAGAGTTTAATACCGTTATAAAAAAAATGAAAAAGCAAAGCTTGCTTGCGTGGCATGAAATTAATATAAAACTCCTCTTAAAATAAAGGTGGTGATTTCCAATTCATGCAATTAAACTTGCAGAGGCATCATCTTCATTTTATTCTCAAATTTGCCATTTTTTATTAAGAACACCAGTTTGTCCACTGTCAGGTCAGATGTTATCCAGTTTTAGCCGCGGCGCTGAAGTCGCCCCTTCTTGTCTGTGTCACAAGTGTGAGTGGAGGTGGAAGTGGCCTACTGTGACAATGTGTTCCTGCATTTCTAATTTTCACTGACGAACGGAGAAGTGGGAAGGAAAGGGAGAGGTGTTAGGGAAAAGAAGTGAGAAAGACAGATGGAGAGAAAGGAGGACCGTGTCAAAGAACGGCCTGCCAAATTATAAGAGCTGCGCTGTAATTGGACTGTGATTTCCTGCCTGTGCGTCTCCCTGTGCTCGTGTTCGAGCCCGTTAGACAACATTAACTTCAGTCAACATTTATTCAGCCGCCGTCAGTTGAGCTGTCAGGTCGTTCCACGCTGTTTCCCCATGAATCGTAACCATATTGTTTCCTCTGGGACACAAATGGCTGAATATTATTACTAAGATGGATTTCTCTGAAGTGGGGCGAGCAGGATGCAGAATGATCACGTGGCATCATGGCAGAGTTTTCAATTTCATGCATAATCGCACTTGTTGCACTCAGACTGCACTGACATCTAAATGATTCACAGCTCAGTGTATTATTCAAATGTACTGTTTCCCAAACATCTGCACACATCCTTAAAACACAAACAACTTAACACACAAGGATGCTGGTTCAAATCCCTGAACTATCTTAGAAAAGGAATGGATTTGTTTGGCTGCATTATGTAATATTTTTGCAAGAAGAATACTTATGTCTATTTTTCTCCTTCACACACTCACACACAATTTCAGTTATTGCTTTACCATCCTGCTTTTCTTAGTTTCCATGGAGACTCCTGTCCTTGCAGTACATCTTTCAATGACTCCTGTTTGTGCTTAACTCTAGCTTTGAGCTAAACTATTATTTTTTTGAGAAAAAATAAATAAATCACTGCCACACTCTTTAATGTGATCATTAGTTGTAGATCGCTTTCTTGTTTTTTTCTTTGTTTTTAGTAACATTTCTGTTTTGTCTCTCTGTCATGCTGACACACATTTTCAGGGATTTCTGTTTCTTCTTCCACTCTGCAGTGCAGCCACATCCCACAATCATGCTAGTGATGACTTTGTTGAATCTTAATGCTTGTATTGAGACGTATGTGACGAGGGGATGCATGCTGAGCCGCACAGCGAGGGGGATTATGAGTAATAGGCTGTGACAGACTAAAACGGAAATGAAAACTTGGAAGATCTTTGGGGCTCCGTCCAGCTGTGGCTTTTTGGCCTGAGCCTCGTTGATATGCATAGATTCCTTTAATCATTCGGAAGAAGTGTTGTTTTGTGCGTGTGTGTGTGTGTGAGAGAGAGAGTGTGTGTGCACTTTTGTAGACGATTGCTTTGTGATAAGAGAGAAAGTGGTGAGAGTGGAGGTCAGGATTTTTGAAAATCTCTCTTTGGCTGCATAATGTGACCTGCTTGGCTCTGCTGCTTTGTCAGAATAAATTGGCTCAGCTTTCAAACAAGACCACACTGAGGTGGAGTCGATTGCATTATCTCAGAGTACTGTAGACAGCTACATACTTAAGAGGAGCCTTGCACAGTTGTGCATTAAAAACAATGAAGGAGGGAAATTAGCTGTTTCCAAACATTTAAAAGAAAAAAAGTTGTCTTCTTGTTTCTGTCTCTCCCTCAAGCCTCTTCTGGACGCCCTGGCAGATCTTCCAGAGTGGTACGGGGTCAAAGCCATGCAGGCAAACTGGATTGGAGAGTGCACCGGATGCTACTTTGATTTTAAACTTAAGGTGAGTTTAATTCAAATTCTCCCTTTATTTAAATATTTCTGTAAAAACTCAAGTAACACAAACATTGCACTTTGTTGATCTGATTCAGTTTAGTGCTTTCCTCTGCGAGGAGTAATTTACCAAAACATGAGGATTTGATGGATCCATTTCTATTGAGTCTTCTCAGAGTCATATTTACAGTTTTCCACTTGTCAAACTGAGCTGTCACAAATAGCCCCATGAGCACCCTTTAAGAAACTGTTTGTCAGTCCTTTAATGGAATAAGTCTTCTTATTTCTAGAAGAACAATGGTCACAGCATGTAGTGGGAAGGCATTTTATGTCCTTTTCTGTGTTTATGGCAGAATAGATGGTTCTAGTTTAAAGCCAGCATTTGTTAAGTAAATTGGATGGCGGCTTGTTTAGTATCATATTGTTATATATATATATATATTCACTGAATTATCTCTCTAGGGGGCTGAAGATTGTGCAAATGTGTGTCCTACAGCATGACATGTTCTAATTGGTCTCAAGCCCCTAACAAGAGTGTTGAGTCTCTAAATAATTACAGGATTAAAGGCTCGTAGCCTCAATATTTATCAAATAGCTACATACATTCATGCAAACATACATACATACTATACATACATACATACATACATACATACATACTATACGTACATACTATACATACATACATACTACATACATACTATACATGCATACATACTACATACATACTACATACATACATACTACATACATACTATACATGCATACATACTACATACATGCATACATACTGCATGCATGCATACATACATGCATACATACATACTATACATGCATGCATACATACTATACATACATACATACATACATACATACATACTATGCATACATGCATACATACTACATACATACTATATATACATACATACATACATACATACTATACATGCATACATACTACATACATACTATACATACATACATGCATACATACATACATACTACATACATACTATATATAACTACATACATACCATACATACATACTATACATACATACTATACATGCATACATACATACTATGCATGCATGCATGCATACATACATACAGTGGGTACGGAAAGTATTCAGACCCCTTTACATTTTTCACTCTTTGTTTCATTGCAGCCATTTGCTAAAATCAAAAAAGTTCATTTTATTTCTCATTAATGTACACTCAGCACCCCATCTTGACAGAAAAAAACCCAGAAATGTAGAAATTTTTGCAAATATATTAAAAAAGAAAAACTGAAATATCACATGGTCATAAGTATTCAGACCCTTTGCTGTGACACTCATATTTAACTCACATGCTGTCCATTTCTTCTGATCCTCCTTGAGATGGTTTTGCTCCTTCATTGGAGTCTAGCTGTGTTTAATTAAACTGATTGGACTTGATTAGAAAAGGCACACACCTGTCTATATAAGACCTTACAGCTCACAGTGCATGTCAGAGCAAATGAGAATCATGAGGTCGAAGGAACTGCCCAAGGAGCTCAGAGACAGAATTGTGGCAAGGTACAGATCTGGCCAAGGTTACAAAAGAATTTCTGCAGCACTCAAGGTTCCTAAGAGCACAGTGGCCTCCATAATCCTTAAATGGAAGAAGTTTGGGACGACCAGAACTCTTCCTAGACCTGGCCGTCCAGCCAAACTGAGCAATTGTGGGAGAAGAGCCTTGGTGAGAGAGGTAAAGAAGAACCCAAAGATCACTGTGGCTGAGCTCCAGAGATGCAGTAGGGAGATGGGAGAAAGTTCCACAAAGTCAACTATCACTGCAGCCCTCCACCAGTCGGGGCTTTATGGCAGAGTGGCCCGACGGAAGCCTCTCCTCAGTGCAAGACATATGAAAGCCTGCATAGAGTTTGCCAAAAAACACATGAAGGACTCCCAGACTATGAGAAAGAAGATTCTCTGGTCTAATGAGACCAAGATTGAACTTTTTGGCTTTAATTCTAAGCGGTATGTGTGGAGAAAACCAGGCACTGCTCATCACCTGCCCAATACAATCCCAACAGTGAAACATGGTGGTGGCAGCATCATGCTATGGGGGTGTTTTTCAGCTGTAGGGACAGGACGACTGGTTGCAATTGAAGGAAAGATGAATGCGGCCAAGTACAGAGATATCCTGGAAGAAAACCTCTTCCAGAGTGCTCAGGACCTCAGACTGGGCTGAAGGTTCACCTTCCAACAAGACAATGACCCTAAGCACACAGCTAAAATAACAAAGGAGTGGCTTCGGAACAACTCTGTGACCATTCTTGACTGGCCCAGCCAGAGCCCTGACCTAAACCCAATTGAGCATCTCTGGAGAGACCTGAAAATGGCTGTCCACCAACGTTCATCATCCAACCTGACAGAACTGGAGAGGATCTGCAAGGAAGAATGGCAGAGGATCCCCAAATCCAGGTGTGAAAAACTTGTTGCATCATTCCCAAGAAGACTCATGGCTGTACTAGCTCAAAAGGGTGCTTCTACTCAATACTGAGCAAAGGGTCTGAATGCTTATGATAATGTGATATTTCAGTTTTTCTTTTTTAATAAATTTGCAAAAATTTCTACATTTCAGTTTTTTTTCTGTCAAGATGGGGTGCTGAGTGTACATTAATGAGAAATAAAATGAACTTTTTTGATTTTAGCAAATGGCTGCAATGAAACAAAGGGTGAAAGATCTGGGGGTCTGAATACTTTCCATACCCTCTGTATATACATACATACATGCATACACACTATACATACATACTATACATACATGCATACATACTACATATATACTATACATACATGCATACACACTATACATACATGCATGCATACATACTATACATACATACATACATACTATACATGCATGCATACTATACATACATACATACATACATACTGCATACATACTATATATGCATGCATACATACATACATACATACATACTATACATGCATGCATAGTCTTCCAAGCGGTTTATTTATTTGATACAATTCAAAATAATTTATTTATTTACACTAAATGGCCTTCAGATGGTACACGTTTCCAATTTGATGTCTTACTCCAGCTTAAGTAGGTAAAAGTACAAGACTTGTCCTGATGAAGGTTAATTGTTTTAGGTGGAATTTATTGTGTGTCTCTCTTTATACAACACTCGGCATACACGGTTGCACAGTGTTCATTTAGTACCAGTGTAATCAGTAATTACACAAGCAACTAAAGAGCGAGAAAAAACACAACAAATTAACAAAATTAGTTGAGTTAATAAATGCAAAGTGCAATCACACCTAAGAAAGGCGCTCAACTGGTGTACCGCTTCTTAAATGTTAGTGACTGAAATTGTTTTTATACAAAACCACTCTGTGTGATAGCCTCAGGAGCTGGCAGGTTCCTCCCATTAGTGCAGCTGTTTACTTGGACGGTGACAGTTTCTTCTTTGATCTTCCAGCTGAATGGAGAGGAGACAGGGGAAACCCTGTCAGCCTACAGCTCCTCTCCTGAGACAGTGTTTGGAGCAGCTTACCTCGCCATTCTGCCCTCCCACAGACTGCTACACGGGAGCAGCTCAGTCCGCTCTGCCTTGGAGAAAGTCTTAAAGCCGGGCAGAGGTAACCGTCCTTACAGTTCTCTTGGTCTGGGTTCAGACTGTCTCAGAAATCAATTATTCTGCTTTTTTGGGAAAAAACACACATCTAGAGCTTTCCTTAGCAGCAGTATAATTTTTTTAATTTGGTGCATACCAAGTTGCTTTACAGATGATGTTGGCAGTTAGGATTTGCATCAGTGCAGGATAAATAAATGTTACATTATTTATAAAACATTTATAACTATTACAACAACTATAGGAAATAGAAGGAAATAAAACTACAAAAAGGAAAAAAAAGATTTTTAAGGGGAATCATTTCAAAGTGATGCATTTAATCCGTCTACATATTTTCCACATGCCCTGTATGGATTACATGTTTTTGAATGTCAAGCTATGGATGTAGAGGCTGCTGTGGTCTGAGCGTATGTTGATTGGGATTCCTTTGAGGTTTTCTCTGCCTCAGAAGTGAGTGATTGTTGATAATGAGCCACCAGGGGAAGCAGCTCGGCCTCCGTCACACCTCTCATGTCCCCCTTGCTCTCCAGACTGCCTGACAGAGGTCACCGCTCGCAACCTGTTCACCAGCCAGGAGGTTCCCCTGGTTATCTCCCACAGAGAGGCGTTTGATGGCTATCTAGATACTGTGATTGGTGAGTTACAGGCCTGGGGAGGTTTCACCTGACCTTGAAAGTGTAGGTGGCCAGTTTGAAAAACAAATGTTACATGCATCTCGGAGCATGCATGATGAATTTTATCAGATTTGATTATGCAAAAGATGCATCCTTATTAATCTTTATTGTTATACAAGCAGCCACTTTACTGTATGTGTTACACCAGTGTTTCAGATGTTTGTCTCACAGAGCTGCAGGGTGAACCCAGGGGACTGTTAGCCATTAGTCTCAGCATAACATGCTTAACATCACCACAGGGTTTTTTTTTCTCCCTCCTCAGAGATTATTCAAGTGTGTGTCCATATTTATGTTTTTTTTTACGTGTTTTTCCTGAACCTGTGTCTTAACAGGAACCCCAGACTGCAGTGAGGAGGATCTGTCTGTGGCCAGAGATCTGAACCTGATGTGGAAAACGGTGCTAAAAAGTGATGAAGATGGGACACAAACTCTCATTAACTCTAATGAGGTCAGCACTGTCAGAAATGACCCAACTAAGTGAAGGATTACTTGTTGAAGTCTGGTACACCTTCTTTCTATACAATAAGACTATTTTTTGTCCTCTTCTGTCTATAGTTCTCAGGCCTAACCAGGCAGCAGGCATTTAACTCCGTTACCCAGAAGGCCAGAGAGCAGAGGGTCGGTGGTCACCTCACCAGCTCCAAGCTCAGGGACTGGTTGATATCAAGACAGCGGTACTGGGGAACACCCATCCCTGTGGTGCATTGTGGGTCTTGCGGTGCGGTTGCTGTCCCTGAGGAGGAGCTACCTGTTGTTTTACCGAAGCTGCCGTCTCTTAAGGGAAAAGGTGCATCACCACTCGATGCCGCTCATGATTGGGTCAACTGCAAATGTCCCAGGTATGAACAGTGAGATGTTCTTTTCATGTTTTATGGGAACGTGGCAAATACTCTGATCCATTAGTTTCATATCTGTTATGATGTGGTGGAGGTACCCTGAGAATATTAACACATGCAGACATTATTCACATGAAACCCACAGATAGCAAATGCACTAAAAGAAAAAAGCAAAAGAACTCAAACACAGAAGAAAAAACAACAAAAATCAAACCAACAGCAAAAGAACCTGCACAACAAAATACCCAACAACATCTTTAACCCAACCATCTAAAGACCCACCATAAGGACCATCGTAAGAACCCAACAACATGAGCTGAGACCAGGAGGACCAGAGATTCAAGATAATGTAAGCAACTAAAAGAGGAAGAAACAATAAACAAAACTTAAGGCAGATAAAAACAGATAATAAGAAGTGAAGGAAATTAAGAGATGAGATCACTGAAAACACGTCAAGAAATAATGCAATCCCTTCCTCATAAAACATGTAAAGCTGTATCTGTGTTTACTAGTGAGTCTACAGACATGTTACCATCACCGGCACTTGCATATGCATAAACAGTACAGGGACCCAGAACAACATAAAACTACGTTTACCTCTGGCTTTAATACGTCGTTATCGAAAACTAGTTAGGGACGTTAGATGGTTAAATCGCTAACAAATTGCCATGTGCAACTGGTAGAAAGAAAATGTCATTTTAGGGTGTTCACAAAGCAAACATATTGAGAATTACTGACTTTAAAACATGATCTTGACGTACAAAATTGTGTGTAAGAGTTTTGACACTAAACAAGTCTCCACCTGCTCCTGTATCACGTAACCCATTAGCAGGTCAGTAGCCACATTCTGCTGTGCAATGTGTTAATAGAATACAGAGAATGTGCAGGATGTTTTTTGTCTATTATACAAAGCAGATGTTATAATGGAAATGATCCTGTCCATTATGGTCTAAGTGAAGTGAGAATTGAATTATGTTGAAACCCTTTCCCGTGACACCCTCTCCCCAGTACTTCTTGTTTGTCCTCGGGAGACCAGCACAGATAAAATGAGCTGAGAGCACTGAGAGCTTTAGGGGAACACGGAGCATTGAGAGCGAGCCTGTGAATGCTGTGATTAGTATTTTGTTTCTGATGGGGTTACATAATAAGTGGCTGACAGGAGCAGCATGAGATGGTGATGCTGATGCTGATGATGATGATGATGATGGAAGTGCAAGCCAAGCTGTGTCGCACACACATTTACCTTTTGAACACAGAAAAAACACACACACACACACTGGCAAGTGTTTGAACATGTTTGAGAAGAAGAAAGCCTCTTCAGTCTCCCCTCGCTGACATGGGAATCCCTCTCTGGAAAAGACTAATCACCACCATGGCGTCATTTTGATTAAAACAACGGCCCACTCAGTTGCAGATGGCACAAGTCATCAGATTGTGTTCACTCACTCTCACAAAGCTACTATAATTCCTCCCATCAGCCGTGATTGATGGCTATAATCACCCAGATGCCGTTATCTCCCCCCCTCCATCGTCAAGAGTCTGTCGAAATTTGTTCCCGTCACTCTTCAACCACATCCAATTAAAGTTTGAGAGTAACACGGATGAGTGGGACGATAAAAGATGCTTTTATTTGTCCTTTGGGCAGTCATTACCTGTGTGCACATCTCTCCGACTCTCCACAGCGCTGTGAACGGGTCCGCCAACTGAACCCTGCCTCGGCTTAGCCTGGCTGGAAAGGTGTGTGTACAGGTGTGTGTTGTTTCGTGGATTCTCCATCTGTGACTTTGTGTCACAGATGGAGAGCTGTTTTCCATAAGATGAGAGCCTTCCTGGAGTGGGCAGCTGCCTCACTTGCCTCGTCTGTTTGAGAGCCTTTTGGCTTTTTTTGGCTCTCCTTGCAAACACACAGACACACACACGCGCACACACGCATACACACACACAAAGGTTTTTTTACACTCTCATTCTTACAGGTTGCTTCAGATAAAGTGACCTACTTATTTTTGCTGCTTTCATGACTTAGAAAAGGGCTACCTCGAGAAAGAGTGTGTGGTCAAAACTGATCCTTCTGTACACTGAGGGTAGCCAGTACCAGCTGTCAGTCAAACGACCACAATCTGGCCTCTGATTGGTCAATCTGGTCTGAGATTTGAAGTGAGAAGATTTTGTCCTGAATGACATGATAACAAGGATTCTTCTTTTTGCCATAAATTTTATGTTATTGGATTCCGATTAATGTTATTAACTTATATTACAGGTTTTCATCATTCTTAATATCACCTGGCCTCCAAATATTAACCTCCCAACACCTTAGTCTTGTTGCTAGGCAACGTTCAGCTCTTACCTCATCATCTCAGCCTTATTATAGATGGTTAGGTTGGTCCAGGGGTTTTGCCTCTCATTGTGTGCGTCTGTGTTTGAGAGTGTTGGATAAAACATGTGATGACTGTTTTTTTTTTTTTAAGGGAAAATGAAGACATCCCAGGTGCGGGAAACACAACCTGCTCTGCTGCACAAAACAGCTTTGAGCTTCTGTTTATCTATCTGAGACACTGATTTCAACTCTACTGAGACTCATTAGAAAGTAAAATAGAGACACGTCCACTGTTCTGTTCAGTGATTTAAATAAAATTGGAACAAAAAACGCTTTCCAAAAGCTCTTTTTTTTTGTTCTCTGCCTTTGAAAAGTCCTCCTCTCCTCTACTGTGAAAGTGATGTTGGCAGATTTGCACCACATACTCAAGTACTGTTTGTCTTGGACAGAAAGGGGGCACAAGGTGGCATTTCCAATGCAAACACACCATCATGTGCTAAGCCTGCTGCTTCGTTCCCTGTTAGCTCAGTCTGTTAGTTATGTCACAGGAACACAGCTCTGGTGCCAGTCTGGCTTCAGCTGGGCTTCTCTACAGGGACATGACCTCCTGCAGCCAGATGGAGCCAGCTGCACTCTCACACACACACACACACACACACCATATAATGTGCCATTTACGCTAAGCATACAAACTGGGAATCGCTCATTTGTTCGCTTTCTAATTTGTTCGCCTAATATTGATTGTTGTGCTGCCTCTGCCAACTCTCTTCCTCTGTCAGATGTAAAGGCCCCGCCAGGAGGGAGACCGATACCATGGACACATTTGTGGACTCCGCCTGGTATTACTTCAGATACACTGACCCTCATAACAATCACAGGTACGATCAGCCTTCTCCTGACACTCACTGAAATCACTGAAAAAAAAAAAATGTTCTCATGCTGACAGATAATTTTTTTGAAACAGAAACAGGTTTTATTTACACTCTTGTTTGTTCAATTAAAATGCAATGGGCCGAGAAAAAATCTGGATAAGTGTTTTAAGCAGTGGGCGTTAACAAATCTGTTTTTAGATATTTATAAAAATGCATTCTTCATGTAATCTCTGCTACACTGTGAGAAGAGCTGCCGTCTCGCACACACTCTTCTGGTTTATATGTGCTGCTGGAAAGTTACACTCAAACACATAATTATGCTGCTCGCTGTAAGATCACCCACTCTCCTACTTATCCATTTCAAACATGTATAAACTGCCTCTGTGCACTGTCCTCTCACACAAACACACACACACACACACACACACACACACACACACACACACACTTTGCCTGGAAGTTGCATTTACAGCTAGCAGAGATTACGGAGCCATGGTCATCACCTGCTGGGATGGTGGCGATAGCCTGAGCCTTACAAAAGAGATTAATTTCCCAGTGCCCTGACCCAGCTGTAAGCTGCTTTAAAAGGAAGGGGGACTGCGCTCCCCATCACTTTTCTTAGGCGGTGAGATTATGGCACAACAAAAAAAGCAATTACGCTATTTGTGCATTTCAGTTAGCCTGCTGGGCCTTGCCTATACGGAGACAGGGGGAGAAACGAGGAAAGAGATGTTGAAAGTAGCAAGTAAGAGGAAAGAAATAGGAAGAAGGTGTTTAATGGAAGAGTGTGTGTGTGTGTGTGTGTGTGTGGTTATGTATTACAGTTCCCTGGACTAATGCCAACAAACAGCCACATTTATTTTCAGCCTTGTGAGTTCATAACGTTTTTTGCCCAGGTTCAATTATCTGGGAGGCGCCATCATCCCAGAGAGGCAGACAGGTGTGGAGGAGAGTAATGATGGTGTGAAAGGTGACACACAGAGATAGCAGGCTACCCTAAAAAAGCATCATTAGGTGGAATCCCGGCCTGTGCTGACCATCACATCGGTCAGGCTTAAAACATACGGCTCTCCTGGTGAAAACTGTAAAAAAAAAACAAAAAAAAACGGCACAGTCAGCAAGATTCCCTCCTACAAAAACTGTAAACATGAGAAGCTGAGTTCAGAGGAAATCTTCAGAGCCATATTTGAAACACATATTCCATCAGTAGATATTAATTTCCATAAAAGTGAAGCCAGAGAGAGAGAAGCTTCAGGATGCTTTTGTTCTCTTCAGATCTGGATCAGATTCAGCCTGCCCCCTAGAGGACGTGAGTGAGCATATTTACAGTACACAGTGCCATTTAAAACAAATGTTTTCTCATAACATATTGTGAAATTTAAACATGCAAACATCTACTTTGCTCCTGTGATCTTCTGATAATGATATATTAATACATCCATTTCCATAGCAACCCCAAATAAAGTTACACGTTGCCTTACAGAGGAGTTGTTTTAAAGTTTCATCATCTTAAGGGAGAGTTCAAACCAAATTTCAGGTGTTGAAATGGAACAGTGAACTGTTCTCAATGTTGTTGAGGAAGTCAAACAATAAAAGGCGTTTAATCAAACACTGAATCGTAGATGTCCCAGTAAAAAACATTTACTTGAACTTCAACTGAAAGTTAATGCACACATTTGATCATGCTTTAAAAATACTGCAATCATAGGACTGACCTCTGAGAGCATTACAGATCTTCTAACCTCACATTGAGATTATATGTAAGTTCAATTGTTTCCTGATCTGTCTCTCCAGGCCCTTTGAGCGCCGCCTGGCCGATCACTGGCTACCTGTAGACGTTTACATCGGAGGGAAGGAGCATGCGGTTATGCACTTGTACTACGCTCGCTTTTTAAGTCACTTCTGCAGGGACCAGGGTCTTGTGGCTCACAGGTACAGCTCACACAGTACTTCATGTGCTTGAAGAGTGCACCGACATCCGTTTGATTTGAATCAACCCTCTTTTTTTTTGTTTTACAGGGAGCCTTTCAGGAAGCTGCTGGTCCAGGGTCTGATTAAAGGCCAGACTTTCAGACTGGCAGACAGTGGGCAGTACCTGAAGAGAGAAGAGATAGACTTCACAGGTAAACACCGCTCCAATGTGCAGAGTGTTCATCAGCTTGATAGGTGTGTAACAGATGGGAGGCAGCTTAGCTCCATGTGGCTCTGCCTCCCAAAACATGAGTCATGTCAACAATTTGTATGTATATTCTTACTCTTTAACTTTTCCTGTTATCCTGTTAAAAATTATGTGTTTTCTAACACAGAAAGTTAGCATTTTGGGGAAGTTTCCTTTTATTTTTGTTATTGTTGATGTTGTTGTTGATGTTGCTGCTGTTGAATGAGTGGTGAACCAGCTACCCTTGACAAATCACAAGGTGTCCTTTTGAAGAGAGCAGAAAAGATCTCTTGCAGTCGACCTCACTCCAAATCATTTTCAGCCTTTCTCTACTTAATTCTCTTCTAGATAAGGAGCCGGTGGCGGTAGGCGGTGGTTGTGTTGAGGTGACGTATGAGAAGATGAGTAAGTCTAAACACAACGGTCTGGACCCACAGGAAGTGGTGCAGCAGTATGGCGTGGATACAGTTCGGCTTTATATCCTCTACGCAGCGCCGCCTGAACAAGACATCCTCTGGAATGTGAAGAGTGAGCCCTGACACTAAAAACTCACTTCTGACTTTATTATACAGGATTGAGATATTCAGACAAATGTTAGAACATGACCATTTAATGATGTCCAGCTGTAAGTGCATAGCAGGATCTGTACACTTAAGGCAGTTTTAAATGTAAATCTGGTAAAGTCCCTCACACTGTCTAATTTGCAAACATACATTTATTGGAAATGTTTCGGTTCTACACCTTCAGCGGTCGAACAGTTTGTCAAAAAAATTGAAGGAATTTTTAAATAGGAAGCGGCTAGAAGCCTGCAACCAATCATCATTAGGACATCAGCGCTGAATCAGCACATTTATAAAAAAATAAAAATCAGCTACCTGATTGAGAGCACACATACCAACACAACTAAATGAACAGGAAAAAAAAGTAAATTTGATTTTCCAAAAATGATCTGCCTTCATGTTTTAAAAAATATCTTTCTCTTCTTCTGCGCCTTTGTGTGCACCACTTTAGCTGATGCCCTCCCCGGGGTCCTGCGATGGCAGTCCCGGCTCTGGCAGCTGGTGACCAAGCTGAGAGCGGCTCGGCAGCTTGCAGGTATCCCAGACCCCTCTGTGCTGAAAAAGAAAGAGCTGGCAGAGGTCAAGAAGATCTGGGAAAATAAGAACTACGCTATTCAAGAGGTAGCAACTCCACAGCCTTATACAAGATTATCTCAGGGTTTCACATTATTTAACAGTCAGATATTGTATCTACCAGAAGGGGTCAGTAAGTGGCTCATATTCTAAATACCAACTTTTCACAGCAACTTAGTCTTCGTCATCCTTCAATAAGATGAATCACACTTTTGCATCTGTCACCTTTTTTTAATTTGAATTTAATTTCCCCATCAGAGCAAGTTATTGCCTGCTGTTATGTTAAACTTGTAGCATTAAACATTATTATTTTTTATCCTTTGTACTGTTAAAGAGCATCGTAAAATGTCTTCTTTCTCTAACAGGATGGAGCATGACAACTGAAAGGTAGTTGTTGGCAACAGTTCACAGTCCTTTCCATCTTTAGTAACCCTAACCCCCCCAGAGTAAAGAGTGAAGGAGAGAAGCGATGGAAATTGATTTTAAATCCACTCACTCTCTGTTCATGCTTTATAAATAGCCTCCTTTGGCTGCCAGGTTTGATGATTCTCTCTCTACACCCATGGGGGCTGGATGCTTTTAAAGGTCCTCAGGCTGTTTGCCAAAAGCCCCCAAAGCCCAGGCCGTCCTTTGATCCGTCCCTCAGAAAAGCTTTGGTGATCGACCTCCTCTTCCCTTGGGCCCTTCTCAAATGGGTTCCTCTTCCCAGAAGGCTAAGCAGGGGGATGTTGACACTGTGTAACTTCAGCGTGTACACGGTGATAACAGGAAGAGGGGCCCTCCTCTTATGGGCACGTTATTGTTTTCTAATAATACTTCAGACACAGGCTCTAAATGACTGTTCAGACTCTGTCATCTTTAATAACCACACTTTGTTTCTACTTCATGTTTTAAGGTGACATCTCACTTCACAGAGGACTTCCTTTTCAACGCGGCCATTTCTCGCCTGATGGGACTCACCAACACTCTGAGTGTGTGTATACTTAAAAAAAAAAAAAAGAGTTTACATGTAGCATTGATGAAGTACCATTGTGTAATTCATGCTTTTACCCCTGATTGTGCTTTCAGAGTGCAACAGTAAGGGTCATGCAGCACAGTGTGGAGTTTGAGGAAGCTCTGGCTGCACTCATAATGATGGCAGCACCCATGGCCCCTCACCTGGCCTCGGAGGTTTGGGCAGGTAAGTGACACACACATTTTTCAGCAAATATGACTGTCAAACACTCACAGTAAAAAGTTAAGAATGGGGAAAGTGTTCTGCCAGCATATAACAAAACAAGAAATGGAACGAAAAAAATAAAGTTCATTTCATTTATTTAGCCTCTGAATAATTATAACGTCACCTCGTGGTGGATGAATGATATTCACAGGGTTTAAGTTCCTCTAGGTGTTCTTTAAATAACTCCAGGGGGTTCTTGAGATGATCTTAACTTTGATTTTTAAAGATGATCTGTTGAGCCTAAAATCAATCAATGAGGGTTTGTATTTTATTCCTTCTTACAAAGCAATTATTATCAGATGTAAATGTTGAAATGTTGCTACAAACAAAACAACACTCAAGTTCATTATGTTTTCTATTTGTGCGGGGAGCCTGTCCTGATCCTAAAAGAAACACATACAGTAGTTGAGAAAATGAATTTGTAGTTTCAAAAAGCATGTTAAGTTTACAGTTTGAATGAGCCCAGCGTACCACATTATGTTATTTCTTTGGTGCTGTTTTTTCTCTCTATATAAAGGCTCTTTTATTGTATTTAGAGAAATTGTGCTGGTCAGGCGGTACCTGGCAGAAAAAAGTGTGAGTTTTAGATGACACAGTTACCAAAGTACTTCTGGTGTGTGGTTAAATTTGAATATTTTTCTCAATAGTGTAAGAGGAAGTTGACTCAGATAAACGTCATGTTGATGCTGCTAATTAAAACCAGAGATCGCCCAGGACTGATTTAATCATCAGTTAGTAAGTCCCCCCACCTAATCAGTTAAACATCCCGGACGAAACCATAAACGTACAAACTACAACAAGTGAAACTGAAACCATGCTGAAAAGGGGAATATCTAAGGTCACTCCACTTGCCGTGTGTGAATGCTTGCCCTCGTGCTGCCCTAATGGAGGACATCCCCTTATTGTCCACAACACATGTACACAAGAGCTCTGCACACCGCTGAAATAAAGCAGATCCGCTAAAACATATTGTCCAGCTGAGAGCCAGTCAGGAAGACCTGACGCATTATCAAAGTATAGAAGGAAAAGGTGTGTGTGTGTGTGTGTGTGTGTGTGTGTGTGTGTGTGTGTGTGTGTGTGTGTGTGTGTGTGTGTGTGTGTGTGTGTGTGTGTGTGTGTGTGTGTGTGTGTGTGTGTGTGTGTGTGTGTGTGTGTGTGTGTGTGTGTGTGTGTGTGTGTGTGTGTGTGTGTGTGTGTGTGTGTGTGTTCTAATGAGTGGCTGCATCCTTTATGTTTGTGCTCACATATGAAGTGTTATCTGAACCAGAGTGAAAAAAACGAGCGAGGAACTTGTGACCTCTGCTGCACTCAGTCACGTTGTGCTAGTTTATGCTCTTTCCTTGTTTGTAATACACACACACACACACACACACACACACTCACGCATAAACACACTTACACTCACAGTTTAGGATAGAAGAGGAAGTTCACTTCCCTTCCCTTTGGCCTTAAGGGAGATGCACACAGTGTTTTCAAATGTGGAGAGGGTGGGTTTTTACTTGACCCTTAACAATGAACAAAAATGAAAATGCATTTTATGTAAAAGAAAAAGAAAAAAAGAAGGAATAGAAAATATGTGACTGCATCTATTTTAATAATGTTTCTCCTGGGTATCTGCCAGGTCTTTGTCAGGTGCAGAACCCCCTCACTCCACTACTCCAGCAGGGAGGAGACGTCCTGCAACAGTCCTGGCCGAATGTGGACCCAGAGTACCTGGATGTCCCTGACTTTGTGGAGCTGTCTGTTCTGGTAAGATCCCACAAATACACACAAGTGTTTTTCCTGATTTTTCTTCCAAGGTTGTGTTCGTAAAACTCTTCGAACCAGACTTGATGAACAAAAAAAAACCTGGGCATCAAGCTTAAAACAAAGCTTGTACTCTTCTTGAACATAATGTGTTTTCACTCAGCGTCAGCCCTCTGCTCATAATTTATACACAACTTTTATTAAGCTGTGTTTTCACACACATCTACTCTTGAATCCTCTTGCATTTACACTCAAACTCTTTTCCCTCTTTAAACCCCAAAGTCTCCGGTCCATGATTACACTCAGTCTATAATTTACAAAAAGCCTATGATTATTGTGTGTGTGAGTTTGTGTGTGTTTGCATGCGTGTGTGTGTGTGTGTTTGCATGTCAAGTGCTGTGCTTTATGCTAAATAGACAAGTGGGTCAATAATTAAAGACAGGAACAGAACACACTGGGCTATTCTTGACAGAACGTGTGTGGGTGTGGGTGTGTGTGTGTGTGTGTCTGCGTGCGTGTGCGTGTGCGTGTGTGGGTGGGTGTGTGTGGGTGTGGGTGTGGGTGTGTGTGTGTGTGTGTGGGTGTGTGTGTGTGTGTCTGTGTGTGTCTGTATTGAGAGAGTGCACTTTCAAAGACAATCAGAGAGAATCTCCAGCTGTGACTTGGATCAGTTCCAGACATCTCACATGCTAACACTGTACATACAAAAACATACAGAGGAACACACACACACACACACAAGTGTCAGACTTCTGACTCATTTAAAAGATAACTTCTTTAATCTCACTATTTTCTTTCTAAAGGGTCATATCCCTAGAGAGAACCAGCCTAATCCCCTCACACACACACACACACACACACACACCCATGCAATGTCAAATGACAGTAAATGCAGTCAGATGATAAGCAGCACCTGTGTCTCACCTGTTCGATTCTTCCTCTGTACTCTGACTGAGAGAGAGAAGAAACCACAAGACAGGAAACCTGGACTGTGTGATATGTGTTTTGCATTACCAGGGCTTATTTTGCTATCTCTGTGAGGTCCAGTTTTAGTTTTACACCATTCACCACCATGCTCACCACATCAAAGGACTGTTTGAAGGTTTAGTATTTGGGGAATGCATTATGTCAATTATGGCCTTAGCAAGTACACAACGACCAGTGTGTATGTGATAGTGTGGGTGTGTGTACAACTCTTCATTCTCGTGAAGTGAAAACGATCCTTCTTTTTATAATTCATATTTATATTTGTATTTATTATAATTTATATATTCTTGGCTTCTTCAGGGTAACATTTAATACACAAAAGTGATGGTCCTGTAATAATCTTGTAGGCTTTAGCTTCTCCAGTACACACACACACACACACACACACACACATATATATTCATTCATATATTTCAGCCCCCAGTGCTCAATGATGATGATGTTGATTTTCCTCCAGCCTGAGCTCTCTGTTGTGGGCTTCCTCAGCTCTGTGGAGACAAACCTCACTGCCTCTGTCTTCTCTCTAATCACTTACTCTGGTTTGTCCCTGAAGAGAGGCCTGGGCTGAGTGACCTCACGCACACATAGAAACACACACACACAAACGCACACAGCCCTCTCCAAATAAACACCATTAATTTTCCACCACTTTCCGAGACATAATCACATTCATCATGTGTGTGCACATACACTTGCTCTTAAACGTTACAAGACTTGAGAGCCCTCCCCATACCTACCACTAACTATGTGTTTAGAGGGTTCACTGTATTTGTGGATGAAGAGGTGGAGCCTGTTATTTTGGGAGTTTTTATTCCAGGAAGAAAAAGTTTGGGTTCAGCTTGTCAGGAAGAGTGAAATGTGAAAACTAGAAACATAATCCCATATAGTTATGTCTTAATTCCTACTTTCAGATAAACAACAAGCCGTGTGGGACAGTGACCGTGCCTCTGCAGGTGTCCAAAGACTTTGAGCGGGTGCAGCAGCTCGTCCTGGAGAGCCCGCTTGGACAGAAGCATCTCGGGGAGCACAACATTAAGAGAGCCATCCTCTCCCCCAGGACCGCCCTCATCAACTTCCTCACTGATGAATGATGTTTGTAATTGTATCTCTGCAACATGAATGCCTGTCAATCTGTGACTAAGCAGGCAGAGGCGAACAAAAAAACTGGTACTTTTGTTATAAATGAAGCAAAAGGGTGGAAGCTGTTTTTTATAAACTGTCATAATTTCAATGTAAATATATCTATTGTATTTATACAATACTTTCCTGTCTTTTTTAAAATAAAGATTCAAAAGCAATAGGTTTCCAGTCTTTGGAAAAAGGAGATTCAGCACCTCTTTTTTCATCCTTTAGTCAGACTCTCTTGACAATCACACCAGCCAAAACCCCCCTTTAGATGTATTTCAGTTCACTCATCTGAAACACCTCACACACAAGACCACAACTCCCCCTGCTCTCTAGTGTCTTCCTGTCTGCTTGGCGTTTCTGCTGTCATACTACCATCATTTGCCTTATCAGTGTGTTTGTGTCAAACTGCTGTTGCTGCTTTTAGCTGCTGGTCTCTTCTGAGCACCAAACACGGGTTGCTGTTTAGCTTCTGGACGTGCAGCTGTGCTCTGTGAACCCCAGAGCCACAAGGTCTGTTTGAAGTCAATGACGAGCCTGATGTGGTCTGGGATTTTTTTTCAGCTTGCTGCCATTCAATCCAGTCCATTGCTGCCATGCTGCCCATTCATCCGCTATGTGTCTCTGTCTCAGCACTAGGTCAGTATGACTCAGCAAGCAGCACTGTGCTGACAGAGCAAACGAGCCAGTAGCACTGACATGCATCCATGTGTACACCCACCTGCCTATCTAGAAGGCCTGGTGAGTAAGCAGTTATTTGATATGTGCACAGCCTCCACTCTGAATTTAAACATGGTTTTTATGTATGAGAAATGTAGCATTGTGTTTGGTGAATGAAGAAGAAGAAAATTAATTTCTATGAAGGAAATGAGATATTTATGCCAGCTTTAGTTTGAGGAAGTGCTTTAGTTTTTATGGTATGATGTTAAGCTTCGATTGTGATTAAATCATTCATTTTTCATTTTAAAAGTAATACCAGCCAAGTTTGTCATAAGAGATGTATATCAAATTGTACAGACAGATGTCAAAACAGAACATTCCTCTCTGATCCCCCTGACTCTTTCTTTTTCCATTTTTCAATGCTCTATCTCTGACCATCAGGTGACAGGAAAAGACTAGCTGGGGAGACAGAATAACAGGAAGAGAAAGCAGGAATAAGAGGAGGGGAGCAACAACTGTGTATGGGCTTATTCTGTGTATTGTTGGAATCTGATCTCAACCAGATGCTGCCACAGCAGAAAAAGAAACAACAAACTAAAAAAAAACAAGTAGCCTCAGTACCTCACAAAGACATAATTTTAACTCGCATCCACTCATCTTTGTTTGCCATATCTTCAAACTCACTGCGTGAAATACAGTAATAGCTAGATTCATGGGAGGAAGTTTTTAATCCCTGATCCTTTCTTTTTTTAGAGTTATTTTTGCGGTTCTTTTCACACAGACTCTCTTTTTTTTTTTTTTTTTACTTGAACTGGACTGAACAAAAGGTTGAGGTTGCTGTATCACAGAAAGAGGCAACATTTTTGTCTTTTTAGACGGGTCTGAAATGCCAGCTGCCACATGTTTGAATACAAAGATAAGAAGGATATTTCTGACCTTTGTTTCCTGTAAAATGAGGCCTGAGCTGTTCTGATGCATTCCCTCTTATAATTAATTTTGTCGCTAACAGCCCCTCGAGCCATTTAACACTTTTTAGTCCGCTCTGCAGTTTCCATAACAACCACATTGATTGAATAGGCAACAGTACTCCTTTGTGACTCACTTTCTCTTCAGACCACAGTCATCGTCTTTATTACACATGACATGTACAGCCAGAACTGCGTTTGATGAGTTAAGAAAATCACTCCTTTTCTGGAGAAACTGAGCTGGTGGAAAACTAAGGGTGGAGTTCAGTCATAGTCACCGTTCATGGCACCAGTAGAGTCCCTGTGCTGGGCTGTGTGTACTCACTGGGGGATGCAGAAATGTCACCACTCATTATCTCAGAGTCCGGTCTCTGGTCTGGTAATTGGGTCTTCCATATCATTCGTCTTAGCCAATCATATATGTATATTTTAATCAGGGCTAATTGTTGTTTTGATGAAAAAGTTTAACTTCTCGCATATATGAACACACCCCCCCCAAAGTAAATTTTGCATGTATTCATGTTTATCTCTATAATAACTTAGTCTTTCTTTCATTTCGTCCTCGTGGATAAGAAAAGCGTGTGGCATGGAGTGTTTTAAAATGTATTTATAAATATAGTTCTGATTATATAGACTGTAGTCCTTAGTATATAAAAAGTATTATGTAAGCGTCTCAATGATATCAATTGGGTTTATCTCAACAATAACAAATTAGTTTAGTCCCTCTATTTAAACCTGTTTCCAGAACAACTGTTGTAAATAACAAGCACCTACAGAAAACATACCCAGCTCGGCTTGGCTGCTTGAATCTATGATATGCTTGAATCTAAATGTAATTTCCTCCCAGTATAACAAACTTGTACCTAAGCAACAGGTAAAGCATTGAGGACATTGGATAAAGATAGAAAATGAACACATCTGACTGCACAGCGTGTCTTCGACATCACAGCAGCAGATAAACCTTTGCATGTCTGAAGAACTCTAACTGTAAAAACGGACTGATTAATGATTGACATCATCTTTTAAAAATTCAAAAAAACATTGGTAATGTTTCGCCGATAATGTGTAAAGAGTGCTTGACTACTAGGACATGAAATTGTATTGCTATTTATGTTGTTTCTTTTAATGGAGTGCTAATCACACAAATAAAACCAGATGATTTCCATGCATTGATCCATTATCTATACAGCTTTTCCTGTTTGGGGTTGCGGGGGGCTGGAGTCAATCCCCTCTGTCATTGGGTGAGAGGTGGGGTACACCCTGGACTGGTCGCCAGTCCCAAATTATTTCAAGTTTCCCATGTAATTTGCTGTTGTTGCCACATGTTAAACCCTTAATATATTATCAAATACAAGTTGTAGAAACATTATACACAGTATATTTCAACAGTTTAACATTTGCAATCAGAAAATCTATGCCTAAACATAAGAGAGACATTTTTGTATTTGTTAAAAAATAATTTGCAGTCATACACAAGAAAATTATGAATGATGCTCTAATGTTTGCTGCAGCTACAGTATATGCAATTTTCTAGCTTTTGGTCCAGTCTAAGACTAACTTATAGATGGATAATAACGTGTTTGTGTGAATAAAACCAGAATGTATACGAGACCTCTGTGAGATTCACAAGAATACAGCGAATGTGAATAAATTACTGTGAGGAGGATGAGATAAAAGCAAGCTAACCCTGCGCTCCAAAAGAATGCTGTGTTATAGTGACTGTTTTCTAAAAGTGCAGATGGCTGAGCCATATAAACCTTCTGTTTTAATTACACCACAAGCAGCAGCCTAGAGGCCCCCTTAACAGACTGACTCCATATTTTTTCACATCAACTGCTGCAGTCAGAGAATGCCCGTTCAGGCTCCATGCAGGACACAAATTAAATGTGTTTCTATGTGTTGGCTGGGATGTTGAGCCTCTTTTTCCATCCTCATTATAAGCTTATCCTAATGCGCCCAAACTCTGTCTCAAATATTCCAATACAATGGGGGGGTTGGTTACACGTGTGTATAGGCACGCATTTCATAAGCAGGAATGTGTGATATCATACAACCAAAACGGAGAGGGGACAGGCACTGTAAATTTCCCCCATCAGCCACAAGAAATAGGCTACACAGCCATGCAGAAGTTACAGTATGGGTTCTGTCTAGATGTAGCTATATAAGATGCGGGAAACTTAAAAATATTGCTCTAGTTTACTAGCTTAAAACATTTTGCCCTTCAAAATGTATCTGAAAATAATTCCCATTCCTCATTTGCTTCACTTTATAGTTCCTGCTCTCTTACCGCAACTGAACCCAAGCAGTGGTAGAAGTATTTACATCATTTACTACTGTTTAAAAATAGCTATAGCACATTGTTAAACACTCCATTACATTTCAACTTCTGCATTGAAATTGCCTTTTTGGTAGGTTGTTGTGAGTTAAATGTAGTTTACTAAGATAAAAACACAAGAATGTTTTACAATCAAATAATGATGTCCTATAATTTCATTGTTCATATGAACGACCTTACTAATTACGTTAAGGGTTAAGTCGTCTCCAGTGGCGGTTCTAGACCACTTTTACTGAGAGGGGCAAACTGGGGCCAGTTGTTTTGTCAGAAGGTGTTACGTTCCCCAAGATGGCTCGGGGATGAGGGGAGTAACAATACATTAAAACCCAGGGAAAAGAAATAGGAACTAAATATAAGCAAAGTTTAAAATGATTTATTAACAAACTAAATCAAAATGTGCAACACAAAACAAGCTTCTTCTAAAAAGCACAAAACAAAAGAGAAGCCAATCAATCTTAAACACAATTCCAAACTAACAATCAAGCTATAAACAATAAGGCCTTAATCTGAACACAACCCTTCCACAGAAGGCTCACACGAAATTTCTTATCAAAGACACACACAGTCCAACGACCCACTGGCAACTGGCAGCCTCCTCTCCTGCTCTTTATAGTTTGCCCCTGATTAGTAATTAGCCACAGGTGATGTTGGGCACTCTGAGGCTGAGGAGCAACACCTGGGGAGCACACACAGGAGAGAGAGAACGCACAAACAAAACTACGGCACGTAACAGAGGGAAACATTAAACCTATAGGTGAAAAATAGACAAAGATGATCGCTTTCAAAAATATATATATCATGCCAAATAATAACGCACATCACTAAATACCACAACATAAAATACCATGATTTATATTTGTTCAGTAACGGTATTTAATACTAGATTATGAGTCCAGTTGTTGAGTCAAATACTGTGTATGTGTTATGAGGGTGGGCTCATTTCCTTTTGGAGGGGTGGCCACAGGGGGGACCAAGCTCAGTCAGTGTTACAGGGGCACTGCCCCCTGTTGGCCCCTGCCTAGCACCGCCCATGAAAATCTCCAATATTGTGCTATTTCTTTTATTTTCTTCTTGGAGGTCCTCCTGCAGTAACCCATGATGGCCCCGCGGCCCACATTTTGGGAAATACTGGCCTATACACTTCTGGAATAAAACTAATGAAAAATAGCTTACAAATGGTAGAGAAAAATACAACTTTAGGATAAGCCTATGT